AATAAATAAAAATAAAAAAGCTATGTTACTATGTGAATGAATCATGAAAACACTGTGCTTGATTAAAGAATCCAGACACATGAGACCGACATTTTTATTGCATTTATATGAAATATCTACAATAGGCAAATCCATAGAGACAGAAAGTCAATTATTGATTGCCAGGGACTAGGAATAGGGGAAATGTGAAGTAACTGCTAATGAGTATGAGATTTCTTTCTGGTGTAAGTAAATGTTCTCGAATTAGATAGTGGTAATCATTGTACAACTTTTGAATATGCTAAAAACTGAATTTTACACCACAAAAGGGTAAGTTTTATGGTATGGGAATTATATCTCAATAAAGCCATTATAAAAACTACGTCCTGAGCTAAGCAAGTTTTTTAGTTTTTAGTTTTTTAAAGGTTTATTTATTTATTTTAGTGAGAGAGAGAGAGAGAGAGAGCAGACCAGGGGGAAGGACAGAGGGAGAGGGAAAGAGGAAGCAGACTCTAATGGGGTCAGTCTCTAGCAGATCATGACCTGAGCCAAAACCAATAGTCAGATGTTTAACCAACTGAGCCACCCAGGCACCCCAAGCACCTTTTCTAAAAAAGTAATCTTGTTATATCAAGAGAGATGATTGACTGGCTAAGGTACAAAGATAAGATGATAATTTATTTTCATGATACTCTTCTGTGCATTTAAAATTTTTGTACTATATATACATACTAGCTGTGAGAAACTAACTGAAATTCTTTTCAATATTATTCATTTGTTAAATATGTAGAAAGATTTTATTCATGTAATACTAGAGTAGATTTTTGCTGCCTAAATACTTTAAGAAAATACTGTAGTCAATATATTTTACATAATTTGAAAAGGATGATTATCAGTGAACCCTTTATTACAAAACATTGAAAGAATTTTATTTATTTATTTATTTATTTTTAAGATTTTATTTATTTACTTGACAGAGAAAGACACGGCAAGAGAGGGAACACAAGCAGGGGGAGTGGGAGAGGGAGAAGCAGGCTTCCCGCTGAGCAGGGAGCCTGATGTGGGGCTCCATCCCAGGATGCTGGGATCATGACCTCAGCTGAAGGCAGATGCCCAACAACTGAGCCACCCAGGTACCCCAACACTGAAAGAATTTTAGAAGTTCCCAGACATCCAAAGTTGTAGTTAAGAATTCTGACTTGAACCTGATTCCTATTCCTTTGTAGATATTCTGTCTTTTCTCTAAAGGAACATTTAGAATTCTCTTGAAGTTCAGAAATTTGAGCACAATCTTTTCTTCATCAATATTGTTTTCTCTTGAATATCTCTGAAGATATTAATTTTTTTTTAAAGATTTTATTTATTTATTTGACAGAGAGAGACACAGCTAGAGAGGGAACACAAGCAGGGGGAGTGGGAGAGGGAGAAGCAGGCTTCCCGCTGAGCAGGGAGCCCAATGCAGGGCTCAATCCCAGGATCCTGGGATCATGACCTGAGCCAAAGGCAGACGCTTAACGACTGAGCCACCCAGGCGCCCCTCTGAAAATATTAATTATGGCGAGATGATATGAGCTATGGACTCTCTGCAGGGAATATCCTTAAAGGATTGTAAATGATGGCTAGCTGCTGGCTTGTGCTGGTTCCAAGGCAGTTAAATATTTCTTGTTTTCATCTTAGCATTCTATCAAAACAAATACTTGCTACAAAAAGCTGGCCTTCAACAGGCACCTTATTCCAGGTGATCACATGTGATAATATAAGTAACTCTTTTATCATGCATGCCTTGGCTTGCCAATATCTTATTTTCCACTGGTAATAAAATCACCACTGTCTTTTGACCCACACCAAGTTAAATAATAAATCTTAAATTCCCATTTTGAGGTTTTATTTATTTATTTTCTGAACACCTTTCTGCACTAAACACTGTATCAGACAAGGTTTCAGTAGAGGAAACAGAAACCACTCTAAGTATGTTACGCTGAAAAGAAAGTTGGTGCATATGAAGTCATTTGAAAGGCTGGAGGAATGAAAGTCAGGGATCCAATGAGACTTTTAGTTTGAAGATCATACACTTGTAGCTGTGATCTAGAAGTCAGAAAATGAGTGCAGCTATTGCCGCTAACCTTTTCCAGAACTGTTCCTCCAACATAACCTTATACCTTTGAAGCTAGTGAGTAGATGCCAGAATGTGGATTCTACCTTCACAGTTTATGGAGCTTGTTTTGGTGCTGCTGCAGCTAAAAGTAGATGGCCTTGGCCTCCCTTTTACCTTCTAAATTCTCATGATGTACATAGGATCCCTGATATATCTGAATTATATAATTGTTTTAAAGATTTTTAAAACTTCAGTTCCTCTCATGTTGTTAGTTTTACTTTAATATTTAATGAAACTTGGTTGCCTATATATGTCTTTTTACATGGATTGCATGGTATTGGTAGCCAAAATTTATATACCTTGCCTAAATAAGAAGCCCTGTTCACCTGGCAAATAATGAATGCAGGTTCTGCTTATAGACATCCTTGCTTCAATGGTTATAGTGGGTGGGAAGAAGGTTGGTGGTACGGGAGGGTGCATGTGAATGAGTAGGCTGTCCTTTATGGCTTATGAGTAGTTTATAATGCTAGATTTTTCTATTTCTTGTGGCAGTTGATCATCACTGGGCTCACTATCATTCGTTCTCTTATAACCTAGTGCCCATTCTGAAAATTTCTGGAGTCAGACTTCCCACTTAATAGAACTGAACTTGAACTTTTTTTCAGAGAGAAAGCTGAAAACAGGATTGTTGTGTGACTTTTTCCTTTTAATGAATCATCCAGACTGTTGTCCTAGTCTTGGCCCTTTTTACAGGCCTTATTATCTCTCATCTGAGGGATATGCAGGCACTTTGTAGGAAAATCTCACTTCAGTAACTCCTTTTTCACCTGGATGAAATTATTAGCTTCTTAGTTTGGTGGGTTTTGTTGGCAATCTGAGCCTACCTCTGTAACTATCAAAATTCCTCAATAGCCTTCAAAAGTTTGTTGGTGACACTCCTCCTTGGTTTATAACAGTACTATGGTTTTACGGTCTTATTTCTATTTTTATATTTATTATGTGACTTCAGTGAAATTTGGGGAGGGTAGAAAGGTAATTCATGTGTTCAACTACCCTTTGTGAACCAGATATATTATCCTTAGATTTATAACAAACTGATTTGTACTTTCCTGGATTAAAAAAATTAATCAGGATCTACAGCTTCTCCCTTGAACCATATAAGACAATTCAATTTTTGTTTTCATTTCTCTTATTTTGCTTTCCCCATGCTTCCCATCTTTTTACCTCCAAATCTCTTGGATTTGGTTATAATCTTTTAGAATTATGGCTCTTCTGGTTACCTATCCTTGCTTAATAATTGTATTAAATTTCACAATTTCATTATCAATAATTATTCATATTTAATTATAACTTTTTTTCTCTTTTCTTTTTACATCATTATGTGCATTGCATGTTCTTGGGTTTTGTTTTGTTTTTTTTTTCTCCCATTTTTCTGGAGTAATTTTGGAGATAGAGTCCTTTGTCATCTGCTTCTTAAAACTTCTCATTTAACTAGAGAGGTTATTATTATCATGCCCAGATTCTAAATGAAGAATCAGAGGCTCAAAGAGTTCAAATTGCCTTTTGAAGGTCAAACAGAAATTCAATGGCAAAGCTTGGACTCAAATTCAGGTCTGCAGACTCTGTTTGCTGTCTTTTTTCAGTTTGATTCTTTTTCATATAGCAAGTGTCCATATAACACTATGCCGCTTACTTCACCACCTTTTGTAGGAGTAGTTTGAAGGACCATATCTAAATATAAATCTGCTTTTTATACTTGTTGTTGATGATACTTGTACAGTCATGTTCAGCTTGATTAGTTGGAGAGAATTGTGAACATTAAGAGTATTCTTTGACAAAATACTACATTAAGGCTGTCTGTGGTTGCAACTATTAGGAAATAATTATTCTCCTAATATGTGTACTAATGCATGGATACCTTGAATCGAATAGAGAATAAAAAGAAAAGCATGCGGGATTATATAACACAAGTATTTTAACAAGAAGATGGCATATCATTAGGAGATTCAAATTTTTCTGAGTTAAGAATGCTCACAGTAATTTATAATATGTGCCTTCAAGACACATAGAAAAATATTATAGGAGATGCTAATATAGCAGTTCATAAACAATGAAGATTCTTTATATGACAGAAAAATAGTAGCAAAGCAACATCCCTTATGAACATAGAAGCAATAATACTCAACAAAATACTAGCAAAACTGAATCCAGTAACATATACACCATGACTAAATGGAATTTGTACCAGTAATGCAAGGTTGGTTCAACATGAAAATCAATGTACTACACCATACTGACAAAATTACAAAAGTATAAAAAAACCACATGATTGTTCCGATATATACAGAAAAAGCATTTAATAAAACTCAAAACTCTTTCAAAATGAAAACAATCAGCAAACTAGAAACAGAAAAGAAGTTATTCTTTTTTTTTTTTTTTTTAAGATTTTTTATTTATTTTTTGACAGCGAGAGAGGGAACACAAACAGGGGGAGTGGGAGAGGGAGAAGCAGACTTCCCGCCGAGCAGGAAGCCCGATGTGGGGCTCGATCCCAGGACCCTGGGATCATGACCTGAGCTGAAGGCAGACGCTTAATGACTGAGCCACCCAGGCGCCCAGAAGTTATTCTTTTATGAAATAAAAGCATCTATGAAAACCCACAGGTAACATCAGACTAAAACAGTGAAAGATTGAAAGCTTTCTTTCTAAGATCAAGAACAAGACAAGGAATTGTACCCTTACTACTTTTATTCAACAGTGTACTGGAAATTCTAACCACAATGATTAGGAAAAAAAAAAAAAAAAGAGGGCAGAAAAGTGAGGAAATTGTACATACCTTTTCAGCTAGCATCCCATTGGCCAGAACTTAATTATGTAACCACATATAACTTCGAGAAAGTTAGAAAATGTAGTCTCTATTTTTTTTTTTTAAGATTTTATTTATTTACTTGACAGAGAGAGACACACAGCGATACAGAGAACACAAGCAGAGGGAGTGGAAGAGGGAGAAGCAGGCTTCCTGAGCAGAACGTAGACACTTAACGACTGAGCCACCCAGGTGCCCCTATAGTTGCTATTCTTGAAAAACTTGTGTCTAGTGGGGCACCTGGGTGGCTCAGTCAGTTAAGTGTCAGACTCTTGATTTTGGCTCAGGTCATGATCTCAGGGTCATCAGATTAAGCCCAGATTGGGCCCTGTGCTGGGCTCTGGGCTCCTCCCCTCCCCCTCTCCCAGCTTTTTCTCTCTCTCAGATAAATAAATAAATAAAATCTTTTCAAAAAAGAGAAAAACTTGTGTCTAGTTAAAATTTGGGGCTTTTATTTATTTTTTTTTTAAAAAGATTTTTATTTATTTACTTGACAGAGACTCAGCAAGAGAGGGAACACAAGCAGGGGGAGTGGGAGAGGGAGAAGCAGGCTTCCTGCTGAGCAGGGAGCCCGATGAGAGGCTCGTTCCCAGGACCCTGAGATCATGACCTGAGCTGAAGGCAGACGCTTAACGACTGAGCCATCCAGGCGCCCCTGGGGCTTTTATTTTTGAAGACAAGGATAATAGGTATTGGGAAACAACTAGCAATTTCTTCCACATTTATTAAATATAAATCAAAAAAGCAGTTCGCTATTTAAAATTTTTTTTTCTCTCTTTCTCCGTTTCTTTCCTTCCTTCCTTTTTTCCTTTTTGTCTTTTTTTTCTTTTAACTCATGTATTACAAAGGTTAAAAAGATTGCTAATTTAAATGCAACATGGTCCTCTGGATTGGATCTTGGAACAGAAGAGGACATTAGTGAGAGAACTAGTAAAATCCAAATAAAGTTTCTGGTTTAATTAATAATATTGTACTAATGTTAATTTCTTAGTTTTGTAAATGTAACATGGTTATGCAAAATATTGACATTAGTGGAAGCAGGGTGAGGAGTATATACAAACAGTATTATTGGTGCATTCTTTCATAAATCTAAAACTACTTAGAAATTAAAAGTTAAAAAAAAATGATTTTTAATACTTAATGGCCAGGGGTTTGGAAAGAATTCTCATGCACTCTTGGTCATAATATATATTAGTACAGCCTATTTTTAGAGAGCAATTAGGCAATGTTTATTAAATATAAATGTGTTTATATTTTTTTATTCAGAAAATCTATTTCTATCAGTGGCCCATGGCAGCAAGACGGTGGTGCAGATTTCCAAGAAGAGGAAGTTTGTTGCCAATGGCATCTTTAAAACTGAACTGAACGAGTTTCTCACTCAGGAGCTGACTGAAGATGGCTACTCTGGGACTGAGGTCTGAATTACACCGACCAGGACAAAAATCATTATCTTGGCCACCAGAACACAGAATGTTCTTGGTGAGAAGGGCCAGCAGATATGGGAATTGACCATTGTGGTTCAGAAGAGGTTTGATTTCTCTGAGGACAGTGTAGAACTTTAAACTGAAAAGGTGGCCACAAGAGGTCTGTGTGCTATTACTAGGGCAGAGTCTCTCCAATACAAACTCCTAGGAGGACTTGCTGTGCAGAGCGTTTGCTATAGTGTGCTGCGGTTCATCATGAAGGGTGGAGCCAAAGGCTGTGAGATCTTGGTGTCTGGGAAACTCCTAAATCCATGATGTTTATGCATGGCCTGATGATTCACAGTGGGGACCCTATTAACTACTATGTTGATACTGCTGAGGCATCAAAGTGAAGATCATGCTTCCTGGGGACTCACGTGGTAAGATTGGCCCTAAGAAGCCCCTGCTTGGTCATGTGAGCATTGTGGAACCCAAAGATGAGATATTGCCTACCACCCCCATCTTGGAAGAGAAGGGTGGGAATCCAGGGTGGTCTGCCATGCTGCAGCCAGTACCCACAGGATAACAGGGTCTCCTTGGCAGCTGGATCTGGAGTCTGGATTTTGCCATGTAAAGACCTTTAATAAAATCTTTGAAGAAAAAAAAAGACAATCTATTTCTAGGAATTTCTCTTATAGAAACTTGAATGCTAGCTTTTGGAGTGTCTTTTCCCTTTTAGATAATTCAGCATAATTCCTCCCAATGAATCTAGGAGAATGGAATGTTTGGTTCTCTAACCTCAGAAGTAAAACAATCCTTAGTATGGTTCATGTTTGAAACAGAATGGAAATTAAGTTCCTGAAGTGGAGCTGGTCAATTAAGTTGCTAGGCTTTTAACTGGAGGAATAACAGGTCTGAAGGCCAGTGGGGAGTATTAAGGATTCGATGCCACCTCTGGATCTTGAGAAAATGAGGTGTGGGAGGCTGAGTGGCCTCCAGTTGAGAGGGCTGCAGGGTAACTTTCCATTTTAGACAAGGAAGTGCATGAATGGTCATTGAAAAGGAAGAGGGTTTACTAAGAAGGTTGTAAAATTTGGGAATTTAAGTTTCTGCAGCACTGTAGAACGGTTTGAGGGGGCACATAGCAGTGGTAGTTTGGTTCAGGGGACTAGAGATTCTTAGAGATTGGAGGAGTTTACATTTTTAGCAGGGATAAGGAACACAGAAAGATGAGGTTGCAATATAATTTGTACAACTACTGTTATGGTGGAATGTCCTGGGACATTAGAAGTAGTCCAGCTTTTGGGGAATTTAACTAGCCAATCCTTCTTAGCCCTGAGCATTTGCACATGACCTTTCCTTGGTCTGGAACACTTCTGTCTCCTTTTCTCCCTTTCTCAGGTCAGTTCAGACTATGTTTGGCTCTATCACTTTCTCTAGGAAGCCTTCCCTGAGTGCCTTCTCTCCTCTTAGCATGTGTACTCTTTCTCTGGTAGCCTGTCTCACAATATACAGCAATTGTCTTACCTGTTTGTATCCTTATCTGTACCCTAAGTTCTGGAAGGGAAGAGAACTATCTTGCAGGCCGTCCAGCCTCCATGTAATCATTCCAAAATTATACTACTTTGTAGTAAATATTTACTATTTTGTCAAATTTAATATTATAAAATTCAATTCCAGTTCACAAAATAATCTAAGACGTTTCTTTAAAGAGTAAGCTTCACTAAGGCATTATATGATTTGATTCCTACGCATTCATTTTCCCATGTTACAAACACTGCCACTCCATGTTTATGTGTGGAATAAACTAATGAACTGAATCAACTTCATCCAAATCTTTCTCAGTTCTTGATATATAAATTTTTGAATTTTAATACTAGTCAGATTCTAATATTTTAATATAATTTAAAAAGTATTTAACCTGTATGTAAATAAATGTGGTGTTTGAAACTGTTGAAGGACTGCCATACCCAGTTGTACATACTGACCTGAGTTTTTATGGTTTTAAAAATTCATCTTAAAAATTAAATTTCCTAAGTTAATGCAAGGCATTATTTCACATTCATGTGGACACACATCCTGAGGTAATACACGATATACTTGTGAAATGGAATATTTTCCCCTAGATGTATTCTCTTAGTAAAATTAAATACTGTGTTTCATTTATATGAAAATGACTACCCACAGTACACTCCTTGTACTAATAGTTAATTAATATAACTAAATTAATGCTTTTTTCCCTCTCTTACAGTTGTAATCTTTTTTTTTTTT